GGGGGGTAGCGCTGGGTGGATTAAGGCAGGCTGTGTGCGCCGCTGTTAATGGGAGCGGCGTTAGACCTGTGTCTGGATTAACAGCAAGCAACCAAAAAAAAAAAACCCAGAAAAAAACACCCTCCCAACAGCATCTTCTTGCAAAGGGGTTAAAGCCTCAAAATAGTAGCTTTCAGTAGTCCTAGAGAAAAGTTTCTCTGACGTGTGCTACATCTGGGGGCCTGTGAAGCTTTTATTGCTGTCCATGAAAAAGCCTCAAAAGCTGAAACTAAGTTAGAGCTGTCTCTAAAAATGACAGTTAAGCTAGCAATGACTAATCTAAAGGAGACTTGAAGAAAATTTGTATAATTAAAAGCTAATTTCTTTTTTATATACATAGTGCTCAATTTAGTAGTCTTTCCCAAGAAACCTTGCTTTGCTTGTTCAAAAATAAATGAACACTGCAGGGTTGAGATAATATCTATTTTGCTGCGCTTTTGTAACTCTTTTTTTTTCCTCTTAATACCTCTGAACGTAAAAACACCAAGACATACTTGAATTTTTCTACAGGTCAAATTATTTTCGGGTTTTGTCCTCGGTTTGCTTTCTGCTCACCTGGAGGGGAAAAAAATAGCCTTGAACCTGCGTGTGTGTAAGCTTCTGATAATACAGGTGCTCTTCCAGGTGAAAATGAAAGTTGTATACAGGGGCTACTTGTGTATCAAAATAAAAGGAGAAAGCCTAACTCCCACTCAGTTAACCTTGGGAGTATGCAGGTGAATTAAATTAAGCAGAAATGTATGTGTTCACTGGAATGGGAACAGTAATAAAATCATTTAGGATCTGGTCTGGCAATGGGATTTGCAGTGAGAGATGCTTACCACGATGCAGACCCTACTGAAATGGATGCCTCAGCTCCTAGGGCAGAAGCTTAAATATGCATATAGACCTATACACACATCAAATCTCTGTGTATAAACACAGCTTCAGCTTGCCTTTTTTTGTTTGGTTGGTTGTTGTTGGTTCTTTTTTAAGCACTGAACTTTGAAGTGACGCTTCCATTTTCAGGCAACTCCAACTAAAGTGTTTTGTGAGTAACCAAACTCATGAGCCTGGTCATCAGTGGGCTGGGAAGTTTATGGGATAACCATAAACTTCGCTCCGCTGCAGCAACATAGCTCCTTTGCGCATTTCCTGTGATATGCCATCTGGACGAGAGATGTTAAATGTTACAGCCAGGACAGAGCTACGCTTCTGCTGGTTGCTGGGGAGCCACCAGCTGGCCAAAATGTATGGTGGCTTAGCCTGTGTATCTCCCAGTAAGGGAAGCTGATGGAGAGATTTCTGTCACCTTCCTGAAAGCAGATCTTCAGGAAAGTCATAGGAATATAAGAGCTTTATGCTCACTTTATCTCCTTTGTCAAACTGGTCACTGGCTTAAAAGAGAGGAAAGGGAGAAGGAAAGGGAAATAACCAAGCTGATACATGGTTATGTGGCCCAAGTCTCATTTCTTCAGGAGACCGGCTAAAAATATATGCCTTATAATAAATCTCAGAATTAAACTTGACAGTTCTAGTCTATATACACTCATCACCATAGTAGCTAAAGTGTATTCCAGTAATGCATGTCACATATTGTTCTTTCATCGTCTCCTCAGGAGAAGTGGGTGTAATTGTGTCTTGGTTTCAGTAAGATTTGTGTGTGCGTGTGATTGGAGGGGATTTATTTTATATTTTGTCTATGCAGTTTTGATCAATTGCGTACAGTCCAGAAGGCACTATCAAGGAAAAACATGGAAGGCTGGAGTAGCCTTAGTTCCTGCAGGTCACGTCACAGGCAAAATAGACACCCGAAAACGTTTGTCTCCTGGACAAACTCACTTTACCTTTTTTGGAGAGTTACAAGAGTGTACCTGTTCTCTGCAGTCTTCCACAGCTTTTAGATATCCTGAGCAAATGCCATGTATCACCTGAAGATAAAGACCAAGAACTAGAGTTTGATTTGAAATGCTAAGAGAGGTGAGAGTAGAGGGCAGAGGGTGGTTTTTGCCAGGGAAGCACAAGTCAGTATATTCAGTTGAGTTCCCTTCCTGTTTAGGTGAATGCCACAGCTATTCACAAGGATGGGATGGAGCCTTCTCACCAGTAGGAGCTGGTAGAAAACACATGTGATACAGGTACAGTATAACAAAGCTGACTGGAAGCTGATGCTGGCACTGAGCAAAAACATGAGCTATGATTTTGCAAACGTGTGCATATGTGCCTGTGTGTACTTCCACGTGTTGCTGCACTTGTACCTAATATAGATGGCCATGCATGATAAATGCATGCACGAGACTGAAATAAGTTTCATACCTTTCACAATCAGCTAAGTCTACATGAAGAGTCATTTGTTTGTGTTACTCTGGGAATTAGATGCTAATAGAGAGGTGAAAAATACAGTTTAGAAGCTGGGAACCAAAAGGGTTCTATGCTTTACGGAAAATATTTTTTAAGGTGCCAGGAGTACGTATCATAAGTCCAATCTGGACTGGGAGCGTACTGTGCTAGAAGCGCTATACTAAAGAAAAGAGATAAACCCTACTATGGAGTGTCTGCAATTTAAAGACACAAAGAGTTGGAGAAGTAGAACACACAAGCAAGTAAGCCTGGTGGATGTTTGTTATTTATAGTTACTGGAGGAAGATAGGGCATTGTGTGTATGTTTTTTAATTGGGCAGAAGTAGAAAATAGGTTCCTTCCTTATTTAAGCTCTTTTTACATTATAGAGATAGTACATTATGGGGCTTTGCATCCTGCCAACATTCACTGTCAAAAGAATAAATTGCCAGTTTTCACAAAGTTGCTTATGCCTCCATAAATATATATTCAGCAGGGGCATATGCCTTCTCATTTTAAAGTTACACTTTAACACATGTGATTAGAGAAATGCGTGCGCTAGGAGCTTACTGCATTTATTATATACCAAAAGAAGAAAAAATGCTCAACTTTACGTATGATATTTCCCTTCCTGTTTTTGGAAGATGAGGGTGGCACATCTGCTAGTTACGCTAAGTCACACTGTCACTTGCTCAGTCTCACAAAATATCAGAGGAAATTGGAAGTAGTTAACTATTTGAGGCAAAATTCTGGTCCCACTGAGGTTAACCTAATTTTTGCCTAGGGGACCACAAATTCACATTACAGTTTTTAGGACTGCTAATGGCATGGAAATGGAAGATGACTCTGAGACACTTCCTTGTCAGATCTACTTAGAACATGTGAAATCTTAGTCACTGAATGAATTATTCTTCCAGTGAGCAGAGAGGCTGGCTTCAGAAGAACTGGTAGCCTGCTGGAGTTTTTAGTTTCAGTATTACTCAGGGAGAACTAGTGAATGTAACAGAGAAGGTGAGAACATATTTTGCAACCTTAACGCAACCTAACTCTGCAATGAGAAGTCTGCAGTAGCACCTGTGGGCCAAAGGGAACTGGCTGCACCTTACTCAGTCACTTTGTGCTGCAGTCTTTCCATCTGGAAATGATTATAGCACAGCTCCTTCCCTGAGGTCTGCCACCAATGCTCCACATTCAGATGTCTCCACTTCCTGTTTTTGCATCCAAACCAATGGAACCAATGGAAGAGGAGTTCCCCTCCCTTAAAAGGGAACAATAACATCTTCTCAGATACTGCTGGAAGGTTCTGGCATTATATCCCATATCTATGTTTTATGCCTTTGGAAGGGTGGGGCAGGTTTGAAGAAGTAGGGTTGAAAGCAACCTTTCTATACTGTAGAAATTTCCCCCAAGTGTCTAGGCCTCCTGCGTCCATATTGGTCTACAATGACCTTCTTCACCCACCTAAATCTGCCCCTTATGTTGACAAGGAGAGTGGGCTGGGGCATGCACAATGCAAGATTGTGTTTGATCCTACACAGGAAGAAGAGCTGTAAGAAGAGGCAGTCACCCCTTCTCACTACATTATACAAAAACAGAACTCACAGCCAAAACTAATGGAAAACCTCCATCTCACTGATCAAGGCTAGGCCACAGACAAAAGCTATTATAAAAATCCTGTTTTCAGTCACTTTACAAAATAAAGGAAAAAAATCTGGCACTAGCTATAAAAGAAAGCTGCCCCACTCTGAATGAATAAGGAACAAGGGATTTATCATCTATTTTATGATTAAGAAGTCTGGTTTTGGCTTTCAAATTTTTTTTTCCCCCAAAACAGACCTTATTAAAAATAAAACAAAGGAAAATTGCTCTCTGATGGCTATTCTAGCCTCTGTCAGTGATGCACACTGGGAAATGGGGCAAGTCCACATGACCCATGTCCTCAATATCTTAGTGATAACAATGGTGTGTTTTGAAAGGCACTTGAAGAACTACGGATGACAAGTGCTATAGGTCATAGTTTTCTATTATGAAACCTTCATAAGGAAAAGTCTGCTCACTCTGAAACCATCTCAGATTATAGGAGGGAAGAGAATGGCACTTGCCTGCTGATACAGAAGTAATTCAGACCTACTAGTTAACAGTAATTTTCAGTAAACTTAAAATTTGACTGTAGCATTATAAACTGCATAAAAGATTTTGCCCCAGGCACCCCTTCTTCCCTTTCAAAAGGGATGAAAAGCATTGTAGATAGGGCAAACTATACTGCAGCATATAATGTAGGAAGCATCTTGCTACACAAAGTTTTGCCTTTTTTTTTTTTGTTTCCTGTTGGTGAAAGCACTATACTTAATGCTTTGCTGGCATTACCCTGGGTGCAGTCACTTACCCCCGGGAAGTTTCAGCTTGTTTTTTGACAATCTCCTCCACCTACTCTTCCACTAACTGCATATGACCACACCGAGGTAAAACAGAAGGCTCTGGAGGTAAAAGTAAGGTTACAAAATAAACAGATGACTTAAAGTCACAGAGGGTTTTTCTACAGAAAGAACAGTTGGCTACAATTTCTGTTTTGGGTCAAACAGCTAAGCAAATTGCTGATATGAAACCTCAAAATAGGTTTAAGGAGGTGCTTAAACTGCTGGACTGCCCTTGAGTTCTTGCAAATCTAGTGAACCCTTCCCATATGATGCCACTCTCTCTGCAGACCTCTTCAAGAGGTGAAGTGCTATGCAGCGAAAGTTTCTGAAGTCCTACAAACATCTTGGAATAGTTGGAGGATGTGGCTAACTTACCTAAAGCTCTCTGCTATAAAAAGGGTGTACCTCTCCCCCTCTGCGAGATGCTTTCAGACCCTTTGCAGAGTGGACACAAATTACTGAACTGTCAACAGGTTTTAATTTCTCACCCCAGAAAGTTTCCATATCTTGCAGAATCCAACAGATTTGGCTTAGCAAACGGTTTGTCAAAGGCTAAAGCCACAGCAGGATGAGACCACAGAGGACAGAGGGAGTGGAACTGCCCACTATCATCACCTGGGCTCTCATCAAACCACACGCCATAAGCTAAAGTCTGTAATGAATCCTGTTTGCTGGCCTAACTGGGTGTCATGGCTGGATTCTTCACAATATGAAGACCATATCAGGCAAGTGTCCTTTTTTACTTTTCTAATAAGTTAAGATTGAATACCACAATGACAGAAAGAACAGAAATGCAAGAGGTATGGATTTAGCTTCTGTTGAGAAGGATCTATTAAGTAGACCAAAAATACAAACACGTTTCTTCAGAGTTTATCACAGACTATTCAGCTTAAAACAACAGTTGACTGTCCCTTAATCTTTCTTCTCCTGAAAACATATTTTAACATAGGCATTCTATCTGCCCACCTTACGTTCTTCCAGTGAAGCACTAACAGAACCGCACTACCCCTTAATAAAAGGGTATTCTTGAAATTGCTAAATGGATTTGCAGTTGTGTTGCCAAGTGAACTGAAATGTGATTCCTGTCTGTCAGCATAAAGACCAGGCTAAGCTACCACAGAACTCTAGCCCATTGGTCCAAGAACCGTTCCTGTAACGTGATTAGAGAAACTCTCTGCTCACTGAGCTTGTAAGGACAGAGAATTATGCCACGTATACCCCTAAATATGGCAACAGACCGCATATTAGCTTAATTTACTTTTAAGAACGTAGCTGAGCTCTAAGGGAGAAGTCACATTATCTTAGGCCAGCAAATTTGTAATGAAACTCCAGGTTTCATGCTTCCATTTTACACTCTGAAATTAGAAAGTCACATCTGTAATTCATAAATCTTATTTCCATTACAGGTTTGGTTCTGTTGGCTCAATTACACTGCACTTTTTTTCTTCTTTTTCTCCTCAGCTGTCGGTGGGGTTAACTCAAGTACTAAAGAACTCCACGCTCACTGTACTAGATGCGACAGGCTTAAGTTCAACATGTTCATCCCATTAAAAGAAAAATAATCCATTCAGTGCTCATGTATGAGTAATAACTATATCAAATTGTGATGACTTTTTTAACTATGACTCTGTTTCAGTTAGTGTTCTGTCTTTAGTCAAGTGTCCTTTTCACTTACAGTAACTGCCCTCCCTCTTCTCCATTTCAAAATGAGCACTTAGGATACATTGTTAAGCCTCTACAAGGAGGCCTCTTACAGACCTACAGCTTACAGGTACTAACATTCTGGAAGCACATTTTGTTTTATCTGCTACTGTAGAGCAGCATTTATTCTGTCAATGAAAAGCCAAACAATCTAGGATAGCAGCAGATGAATGGTACAGGAAAGGTTGTTAACTCAGAGAGCTGGGCGGGACTGCTAATACGAAATCGAACAGAAGTCATCCCATTTTTCAAGAAACACATACCATAAGTTCTAAGAAAAGTAAGGCCTGATAATGAACGCTGCCCTTTCACACCATTGATGTTGCAAAATCCTTTCAGATCCACACCAGAACAGCTATGTTTTCTTCACTGGTTTCCATCGTTTTGCAGCTCCAGCTTTGTTAGCTGGTCCTCAAACTTTTGCATGTCTACTCGATGCTTCATTAGGAACTTCCCATTTAAATGAAAAACAGGTATGTCATATTTGTATTTATCATACCATGTTGAGTTTTCTGGAAGGGTAATATCCACCTCCTGCAAAATAAACTGTGATAGACAAGAAATATAAGTTAGTACATATTGGACACTGAAAAAACAACACCTGCTTGTTTTTTAATTAAGATTTTCTTCAGATGTGCAATACCACTTTCTTTGGGCTTTTGGCTGTATTTTTCCAAGTTGAAGACAATTTCCCATTTTGTGGGCACAAAACTATGTGGGCACAAACTTAGACTGTATGTCTGCAAAGGCCCTCTGTTTAGTCCAGTAAGACACTCTTGATCCCCTGGGCAGAGCCGCTCTCCTGTGAGCACAGGCCACAACCACAATGTAGCTGGCAACACAGCAGCTTCCTGTTAAGCAGTAGAGCGCACCATCTTTTCAGTACTACTGTTAACAACCTCTTCTTTCAAGACAGAGATCAAAAACTGATTGAAGAGCACCAAAAACTGTGCCACGAATTCAAATATTTGTAGTTCCTCATCCCTCAGAAATTTCTTCCCAACATCCTTCCCAAATGATATCGTTACCTGTCGCAAAAAAAGTTGTGAATGCTGCAATAGTCCAGGGAAATAATACCTACAGAAGCATATATTTTAAAAATTTTTGTAGTGAAGTGTATCTTGGTTTAGTTTGCTAACACTTATTTGAGTTGCGGTGTTGGAGAATGCTTATGCTTTTGGATAATGAGTTTTATGGAAATTAGTGTTGAAATTGTCTTGAAGGGGTCACCCATGAAAGAATAATGGATGCAAATAAATCCAAGCAATTTTCTCTTACAAAGAAATAATCCTGATTAACTATTATTTCTATATATAACATCTATACAGTATTGTAATATATTACCCTTTTCTTATGTGGCTCAAGCACTTCTTTTGCTTCATCACAGAGAGGGCATGGTTTCTAAAGGAAAAAAACAGTAGAATATGGGCATCGTTTGTGCTGTAAAGTAACATACACAGAGAGGAGCGATCATTACTGTAAATGTGGGTTCCCTCCCCCTTTCCACCCCATTTCTGTCTTTGTGCTTTGTAAATCTCCACTTTATCAGTGCAGCACAGACTAACCAGAACAAACTTCTTGCATCAACCACAAAACTTAGGCACTCCTCATCTGCTGTTTTGTTTTCCTCATGGTACAAATTAATAGTTTTCAATTTATTTTTTACAAGCTGATTAGTGGACACAGTTTGGAAGGTCGCACACAGATCCCTTCTTGTAGCAGCAGCGCTTATTGAAGATGTTGCCAGCCCCAGCTGGAAACAACTGCTGGTACCACTCTTGTTGGAAGGAGAATGCAGGAATTGTGAGTAATTTCTGATCTGTTTCAGATCCACCGACTTGGGTCAGTTCAAATAGCAAAAGAAGGTGGCTTAAGATAACCTGGCTGATTTTGCCTAAAAAGGATTAGGCATGATCTCTTCCACCTGCAGAGCTAGAGGGACAGCAACCTCCAGCAGAGGGAAGTGACAAACAGCTGCAGTGTTTTGACCTGTGTGTCAGGTCAAAACAGGTAGGATTTTGGGGTTTTCAAAAAAACCCCAAACTTTCCTTTCTGAAAACTCCTTTGTCTTTTACTACAGTGATAGAGCAGACTTCTGCTATCATGCATCTGCAAGTGCATATCTGAAAATGTGACTCACATGGAGGAACATGCTTCCATATTTGTGACAGCACAATTTGGCCTATAATTCACATAACACAATATACAGCAATGAAGATGTTGGCTCTGTCTGTCTACCATGAAATACTGCTCCCCCTACCCCACTTAAAGCCTTCTTGGGGCTTGTTTAAACAGGAAATTAATCTGAAGTAACCATTTCTTACTTCCTGTGCGTGAATTAATTGGGATTAAATATTCTACTTTTAATTCACACTCTGATCTAAATTGTCTTTCCTGTATAGACAAGTCCTTGAGCTTTGAAAACCTATGCAAGATGCTAAAGATCAGCAGTTCTGTATTCTTCTTGCTAGTGCTTACCACTTTTGGAGAGACTTATATGCCAAAGACCTGAAGGTACATGTATCAGTGACTGAGAGAAACAGCCCAGAATGCTGCGTATCAGTTTTGGAATATGCCAGGTTCCTTACAGCGAAAGTAGGACATACTCAGTTCTCCTAGGAATGCAGAAAGCTTTCTAACATAATAGCTACACAAAAGCATTTTAAAAACTAAGTTGACTCTTGAAAAAGTATATGATTTTGCTCTTGTTCTGATGGAAAGCTTAAGCATGCACGTGGTACTAGTAAAACTGGAACTGGTTTAAAATCAGTATGTATCAGTGTAACAGTAGGTTTCTACCTGCTTTCGTTACTTTGTAATAGTGCTGCCTGGATAGAGCTGTCTCAGACAACCTGCTTCCTGAGATGTATGTTACAGTAGCAGAAGGGAATCCTACTGCTGAAATAGTAAAAAAATTCTTGCCAAAGTGACATATGCTGTGCTGATAGCTAAACCTGTTAGACAACACACAAGGTGGAAAGCCACTTATTTCTACAGATAATCAATCCCCATTTATCCTGCAGGCTCAGACTGCAGTTTTATGGTCATTTTAAGGTGGCACTGATGCTGAAGGAAGCAGACCCATCTTCCTGCCACCACTCCTTTTGTGCTGGCATAAGCACTCATGCAGCTGTACAGTACAGCTAGACAGGAGAACTGATGTGAGTTAATCGTAATCTTGGGGGTGGAGAGGGGGGGAAGATTTTTAACCTGGATCAGTTACTGCATGAACGCTCATATTGCATAAAAGGAGTCTGTGAGTGGAAAACCTTCTGAAGATTGCTAACTCCTCCTTCTCCCCCTCTTCTCTCCTTATTTTTAAAATAGTAAAGAGGGGAAAAAAGAAGTTTATTCGCATAAACTAAGAGTGCAGATTAGAGTTGTTATAAAGTAGTCTGCATTTTGCTCTGCAATTGCCAGTGATATCAGATATGAAAAGCATTTCAAGTTAAGAGTACATTCAACAAAAAAAGGACAGTTGAGAATATCACTTGCACTCTGCTTGAAGAAATTTGATTGCATACAGTGCCTTAGTAGTTTGAAATTTTTATGACAAAGATATTATATGAAAGAATTTTTTTTCCAATTATTAACTCCAGAGTTAAGCTCATTATTCCCTACTTTATCACCTCTATTGTGAGTGAGTTGATGCTGAATCAGCCAGCAGAGAGCAAGCTGTAACTTTACAGTATGGTTCTTCATATATCATGCACTCCATTGATTAAGAAACAACTGCTGACCTTTTTTAACCTGTTCCTATACAACACAGCTAGCAGTAAAATGAACGAACACTGTGCATGTTGCAGGAGGCCCAGGAGGGGCAGCCGAGCCAACCACAGAGCATCCTGACGCTCTGGTCCCCACACTACTCCACGCTACACGAAAGGTTCGGGGTGGTGGCACAGGTATCCCTGTCACTTAGGAATGGGTTCCCAATTAACAGCCAGAAACAAATAACAAAGTTCAATATGTATCACCAGTAGTAATAACAATTAAGAACTAGTAATAACAACAGCAACAATACTCAATTAGTAATTATACTTTCAAACGCTATGTAACATGGAACAGGAATAATTACAATATTTACAGGTACCTACATATATATACAAGCTCAAACCAGTAAGGGAAAAGGTGCCTGGTGGTTACACCAGAAGGTATGGTGGGGAGGGGGGGGCACAAGCAGGCCACACCCTGGGGGGAAGTGCCGCTTCAAGCCCAGGGGTTCCTCAGCAGGCCACAGCAGGCACAGTGTGCCACCACCATGCGCGCTCCACACTTCAGTCAGCGTGCTGCTTCAATTACTACTCCCCAGGGTGGGTATACTCACATGTCCACTGATGTTAGGAGCCGGGGGGTTCCCCAGCTGCCGGACCCAGCGTCC